ATTCACACCCCCCCCCCAAAACAAACAAAAAAAGCTGCATCTACAGCTAAATATACAACATTCATTCAATAGGAAATCGAAGGGAAGTCTGAAACCACCAAAATTGCTCATTCACAATTAAATAATAACAAAACCCTAGCCGAATAGCATATCTCCATTCTGCTGCAGAATCTAAATGAAAAAATGTATATATATGGTATATTTGATTCTGAAAGAAAATACCAGAAGGCAGAAGTTGTAATTGAATGAGTACTTACAGTTTGACGGAGAAGAAGGAGAGGCTACAGAAATTTAGCTTGAATTGCGATTCCTGCCGGAGAAGAAAACAAGAGCTTTGATCTCTGTGCGGATTTTTTTGTCACTTTCAGGTGTTAGGGTTTAAGAGAGGAATTGGATATTGGAATTTTGAAAATTAAAAAATAAAAATAACGGTTATACCTTTCGGTTCTTGTGGCTTTACCTTGATCCGGTTCGGTCTAAAACCGTGCCATTTTTTCTGACCCTGGTTTTATAAATTCTCCGGTTGTGAAGTTCCGGTCATGCTCATTTGTAGATTTTTTTTTTTTTTTGGGGGGTTAAAAATGTTCATTTGTAGATATTTTGTTTGGATAGATGACTGCCACGATTAATTTCGGAATTTTGTGAAATTGTTCGAGAAAATCATACTTTTACACTAATAAGTAGTTGTTATTTGGATAAATTAATGTTAAAACTAGAATAGTTTGCAAATGCATTCAACTAAAAGATGACTATTATGGATGAAAGCCATTATACCATGTTCAGCAATGAAACTTTAGAACAACTCAGGATTAAACCAACTGTCAAAGTTCACATGTGATTCCATTTGTTACCACTTCCTTTCCTTCTTTCTCCTTTGTCAATACGGAATTAGAGAAGTTAAAACCAAATCATCATCCCTAACACCGCAAGATTGCTTGCAAGAGAAACCAAACATGGCCCTTTTCAGACTAAAGCCAACACCTTTCTTGGACAGCTTACCCTTGTGAGTGGCCCTGGTGCATTCCTTATAAGCTGCCAAAAAAAGGGTCACCTTGGTCATGCCTCTCAAGCCCTTTTCTCGAACAACTTCTTGGAGAAGGCTGAAAAGTGCATGGAGGGAAAGGAATTTGTATGTCATGGAATGATTTTTTTGTGTTTTCAGATAAACACGGAGGAAGAGGTAGCTTCTGCAACAAGTACTTCTCCTCTTTAGCACTCTTCTGGTTTGTCACCATGGGGAAGCCGGTTTTGTTCTCAAATGAGAAGGGCACTTTCCCTTGAGAGTTAACCTTACTGCTTTGATTCATACTCTCAATTTGGCTTTGGGATAAGATTTTCAGTTGGTTAATGGCTTTTTATATAGCAGAGAATTTGTCCAAGTTTTCTTAAGAAAAATAAAATAAATGTGAAGAAAGAGAGGTAGGTACATGCTTCTATACAGAATTGAGGGGGGAAAACATGACCAAGTCTATTAAGCCTACATCATCATGGAAAAGTTGAAAGGAGAGTGACAAACTCAGAGTGATAGACCAATTCCTTGTACAGATACTTTAGGATTAATAAATAATAATCTACCTACCAAGCCGCCTAATTTCCCCACCATGAAAGAACTTGAATGCTGAAAACAGACGTGGAGAAAAGTACAGGTACACTAACAACAAGCATAGCTGGAAAACAGAAAATTTAATTCACAATGCAACAGAGTAGGATTAGGCAAAAATAGGCATGTGTCAAACTGATAATTTTGAATTGTTATCCACATCATTATACATTTCTCTCTGTTTCTGTTCCTCTTTCCCTCTAATTACCTTGAGAATCAGTCTAGGAAACCGAGCAATCCTCACCACATCATCACTGCTAACTGTGCAAGCATGCTTACAGGAGAAATGACAAGTATTCTTCTTCTTGGTCGTAGTGTTGGTCTCATTTTTCCCATTGATTGAATACTCAGTGCATTTTGTAAGCGGCAACAAAAGGGTCATCTTGCTTTCCACTGGCACTCTTCTTTATTGACTTGGTTGCCGAAGGCTGAGACAGATGTGGAGGAAAAGACTTCTGCAACTGCAATTCACAAGAACTCTTTGAAGCACAAGGCGGTGGTGGCAAATTGAGGGTGCATTCTGAAGTATGTCAATGCTGCATTCTAAATTTTTGGCCTTGGACAATCCAGGCTTGATTTCCCATGAAAAGGGCACATACACTTCAGAGCACCGAAACCTCATTGTGACTCATTTTGGCCGGATCATCATGTGTGTTTACCCTTGGTGAAGGCTGTAGCAAAGCACGCATTTGCGCTGTTGTGCTTTATGCACTTCAACTGCTGATGTTTCCCCATAAAGAATTCTAACTTTCAAACTAATCAAATAGAGAAAACAAATTCTTCATGGATTAAAAGAAGAAAAAATCTGCTAATCATGCAAAAAGTTAACAGGAATTTTAGCTTTAATGGTATTCTAACTTTGAACTTAAAATCTTTAATTTAGAGTCGAAAAACAAATAATACAGTACAAATGCTGTGTTGTGGATACATGAAAATCGTTGAAGCAATTTTCTATTAGTTGCAATAACATTGTTTCTAATGAGACTGATATTGGTTTAAATAGCTTAATTAGTTCTTTCTCAATAGAAATAAACTAATTAAAATATCTCAAGCCATTACAATATTGAAAAAGGAATGACAATGGCAAAAATCAATTATACTCATTTTCATGCAGGGAATTAATTAAATGAAGCAGGGAATTATATTCATTCCATGCATTGCCAATGACAAAAATCAATCTAAAATCAACAATTTAAACCTTCATCCTTTTTTCATCACGTTGTTTTGGCTGGGAGAATTTACAATATAACAAAATTGAATATAATTAATTGAAATTATTTTTCGTTAACAATAAACGATTTGACGCTTGACTTATTGAGTCGAGTAACTCTTGTCACATTATTAAAGTGTTGTTTCTCCCTCTCTTAGACCATGTTCAGAAAAAAAATTAATAATAATGAGCCGTTTGGTATGCAAAATTACACAATGATGGCGGTCAATCAAGAATTAATACTAAGCATTTTAATAAACAACTAATTGAGCACAAATGAAAATTCTTCCACTTAAAGTATGAACTATGAACAAATTTTTTCTAGAGTCCAGTAACTTAGAACATTGCCGCCAGTTATTTGTCACTTAACAACAATGGACCAAGAGCTGAGGAAGGAGGGGAAATGGTGTTTATATTAAAATTTAATAAAGTTAATAAATATATGATTTGAATTTTAATACTTGCAAATTAATCTAAAGAGAACTGTGGTTTTTTCATCAAATAAAAAAATAAAAAAGTTGAAGAGTTAGATGCATTATTTTCCTCTTTAAGATTATATTGGATTATAAAATAAAATATTTAAATAAGGTAAACTTTTAATATTAAAAAACTTACATTTATTTACACATAACCGTAGAGGCTCCCTTAGTATTAGTTGATTAGTCAGTGCATTCCCCTTCCTTTCCTTGTACGGGTTTCGAATCCGCACCTTGTCAAAATATTCAAAAAAAAAAACTTATATTTATTTACTAATAATTTGTTATTCAATAATAAACAAATAAGTAACACCCATCTTCTATAGATTGGTAGCTATTCAAGAATTATCTTTTAATCAATATAAACAATTAAGTAATGAAAAAATTAAAATAAAAAATATTTATTTATCTTAAAATAATAATAATTAATTTAAAATAATTTTAAAATTAGAAAATAACAAAAAAATATTTTTTTAAATATAAATTTATTTAAAAAATGTGTATTGATTAATTATTACAAAAATCCATTTTAGTGCTACTGTAATTAAAATTACAAAATCACCGCTAGGGTTTTAGTTCTGCTTCACTCATTCTGCTCTCAATCTTTAATCTTCATCTTGGATTAGTCTCCATAATACCCAGAAAATTCATACATACAATTCAGATTGTGTTTCCATCGCCGGAAAATGGAAGGAGCCGAAGCAGGTCCGTCGCTGATTAAGCGACTAGCGTCCTGCGACAGGGTCACCCGTGACAGAACTGTCCGCACCCTCCTCAACACCTGGCTTCCATCTCAGCCCGAAGTCTCCGAAGACGATATGAAGATACTCTGGAAAGGTCTCTTTTACTGCGTCTGGCACGCCGACAAGCTCCCTGTCCAGACAGAACTCATCGAGATGCTCTCTTCTGCTATCCATTCTCTCAATCCTTCTCTGTCCCTCGAGTACTTATCTGTCTTCTTGATCACTATGCGGCGGGAGTGGACTGGGATTGATGGGCTCAGGTTAGACAAATTTTACCTCTTAATTCGTAGGTTCTTGCACTGTTTCTTTGTTATGTTGAAGAAGTGGTCATCGGATTTGGATTTTGTGCGGCGCTCGATAGGTGTTTTAGTGGATAGGACTTTTCTTGCTGATGATAACTTGCTAGGGAATGGTGTTAATTATCACATTGCCTCAGTTTTGCTTGAAGAGATAAGGCCCTTTTTTCCGGTGAGGAAGGAAGTGCTCGAAGTTTTGTTGGAGCCGCTTGTTAGAGTCATGGGGAGAGTTACTGATAAGGTCTTGGTTACAAAGATCAAAAGTAATGTGTTTGACGTATTGATTAAAACGGGGAGGAGTTTGCTTGAGTTTAAGAAATCAGAGACTGAAGTTGAAGTTGATTCCAGCAATGATTTGGTTGTGTTAGGGACAATTGCTTTAGTGATGGGATTCTCCTCAAAGTTTTATGAATTGGGTTCTTCAGCCGAGTGCTATCAGGGACATAGGAAGGTGCTGTTAGGTTTACATGAGGACTTTCTAAAGTTGGAGAAGGATCTTGCAACTTCTGGGATTGAGATTTCAATTCCTGAGGTTAATAATGAGGACTGTGAAGACAAGGTTCAAGAATTAGTTCCTGTTGCTTACAAGATGGAAACAGATGTTGTTTTGGAGCCTGCTGAAGCTAATGCCAAGAAGAGGTTGAAGAAGTTCAAGAAGGCTGAAAAGGCTTCTATTGCTAGTGGTAGTAAGGATAAGAAGGATGAAAATGTTAAAAACAGTCTTTTGGATAAGGAAAATGACAGTGAGGTAATTGCAAATGGTGAAAATTCAACTGCTGAGCAAAGTGGTAATGGGGATGCTGTAAGTTTTAATGAAACAGCAATATCAAACCTTAAGCTGCAGTTTGAGAAGGTTGCTGGTGAGGTGGGCTTGGATAATGATGTTCCAAGTGTTTTTGATTCACCCATTCTTGTAGTTAATGGTATTGTTTCCAAGAAGAGAAAGAGATCAAAAGGTATGAACGGGCAACAATCTAAGAGTGCAGAATTGACCAGCCAAGGAGAAGGGAAAGCTATTGGAACTGTAAAGATTGGTGAGAAGAGTGCAAAGAGAGTTAAATTCTCAATGAAAAACAACTTGGTGTGGAAGCCTCAGTGCCCTTTACCTCCACAAAGTTTGAGATTACCACCCTCAGTTACACCTAGAGGAAGTGCACTTAAGAAAGGTGTACCTCCAGGCCCCATAAGGGAGATGCCTACGGCAGCTAAAAAGGTGAAAAGGAAAGCTAAATCTGTGAAGAAGAGCCGGAAGGGAGTAAAAATCATACGTGCAAAACGCCTGAAGATGTAATAAAGCTCTTTTTTTATTTCTTTTTGTGGGAAAGAGTTTCTCCGAGCTTAGTTGTCTAAATTCTTTTTTAACTTGATCACCTTTGTCTCAATTTATAGATTTGGCCATATTCTGCTGCGTAGAGACCTCATCCAATTTCAAAGTTAATTTTGATGACCAGTTTATCGTTTCCATTAAGAGGATTAAATTTTGGTTATCTTTGCTTTATACTTGTAAAAATCTTTAATTTTTTGTAATTTTTAGATCTTCATCCTCAATTCTCATGCTTTTCTTTGTTGCATTCTCATCTTTTGTATTAAAGACCTGAAGTTCAAATGTTATTTGAATGGAGAATAAGCTATTCCTTTGCACATTTCATTCGACCAGCGAATGCCAAGAAATGCTGAGAGTCTGTTACATCTCCACTACGCAGGTTATGTGACCATTGCGTTTTTAAGCTTTAGATCCTGTTTTCACGCATGGTTGTGCTACAATTTTACCATCACTTCATCTTGTTACCTTGATAGAATTAGTCATGAAAAAGGAAATGATGATTCTTCTAGCAAAGAAATCCTCTTTGAACAGAGCAGCCACCAAGAAAATGTTGGGCGACTGTTCTAAGTTCTAACCAGAAAAGAAAATGGAACTCGAAGTTTTTATTAGAATATCCTTTATAGTGATTGATTTTGGTCTTTATCAAAGTCATCTAACATGAGCACAACCCTCTTTCTTTCATTTTCTACTGTTTGCTTTTCCTTCATTTCTCTCAAAACTATCCCTTTTGGCGCCCTTCTTTAATTCATTGCATCATCCTCACCATCATCATGCTAGTACTAAATCAAAGTTCTGTAAACAGTTTTAATCAGTTAAAGTATAGCATGAAAGTTTGATGATTAATCCCATCATCAGCTTGATTACATTAGCATTTCCCGTTAAACTTAAACCTTAATTTCTGTATGTAGATAAAGTAGTTGTGTGACTGCTTATGATTTAACAAGTCCAAAAGGGGAACACTAATTTTACTGCTATATTCCTGCTTGTGATGTATTTTTAATAATACTTCAGAAGTTACCGTGCTTAGCATTGTAAGTATGAATCTCTAACATTGATCTCATAATTAAGGTGTTGAAGTAGCACTAGTTGATACTAAATCAACTATAAACTTTTGTTAGTCTTGCTGATGGTGCATTAACTCTTCTTTAATTACCATTATTCAAAGAGTAATGGCCCAAAGCTTAGCTACTTATTACTGACAAATGACATGGACTGAGCCTTTTGTATTGATGACAAAAGGTATGTGTTTCGTATGATTTGTCTGAGAGTTGGCCCTCTGTAACTATTCATTCTTCCTGCTGTCAATGAGTTTCCTTCACTATTGAAAAGAATTGGAGGGGAAATTTTTCAGTTTTTTTTGTCCCCTCTGCTTTCCTTTAAACACCAAGCATATGTGATACGAGCACATATTGCACTTCGTAACCAGTTGCCTCAACATAAATCAAGCAGAGAGCAGAGCCATTGGTGGGTAAAAAGGCAAAGCTGTTCAAGACTCCGGCTTTAACCAAAAGTGAAAAAGCAAAGTTGTTAAATGCAACAAGTTTTTTCTCTTGAGATCTTAACCCAGCTTAGGTCACTGTACAAGCAACCTCCATACTTTAATGCTTGCCAACCAACAGCAATAACATTGGTAGTACGGTACTTGTAAATGTCTTAATCTCAACGAACATGTGCTCGAAGTACTTAAAATTTTAAAAATTAAAACACAAACTTCCTTTACCTAATGCCCTAATCAGTCAAGTTCGATATTTTTCCAAGCAAACCATGGCTAAAGGGTACGCAGATTACAAAAATTAAAAACTTACAAAATTAATGCTTCATATTTGTCAGCATAGATAGCAAGAAAGAAAAATAAAGACACTCATAATTCAACATCATCATCTTCTTCTTTGTCTTGCATTCACCTAAGAGACTTCTTGCTTTGCAGGCCATAGGGGTGGGTCAACTTATAAAGCTGGCAAAGAGGAGGAATGCACAATGGTTCAGCCAAGGAGGTCACTGCAAAGGCTGGCCCCTTCACGAGTCTTGTTATTCTCGGCTCGTGGACTGCTTCCTGCACTGCTATTTGAGAGGGATCCGAAGGTAGTTTTTTGTAGGACACCAGTGGGAGATGATCCTAACTGAGGACTATTATCCCAGCCCTCAGTCATCAGATTGAGGGCTGATGAGTTCTTGCAGTCTGCTGTGCTGTTATTAGTGTTATGCAGAACCTCCCCAAGAGGACCACCCATTGAAGTCTCCCAAGAGATGGGGATCCAGTTTGCTTGTCTCTGGTTTTGAACACTGCCCACTCCTAGCCCCATCTGTATAGGACCAAATTCACGCGATAGTCTGAGAGGTGAGAGCGTGACCTTTTCATTATTGGGAGAGGAAGTTGAAGACAAAAAGTCTGAAGCAGCCATGGGTATCGAAATTGAAAGCTGAGTCCTGTCTGATTGCACATCCACTCCAGGCCAGGAAATGGCAGAGCGATCAGACTGGCTTTTAGGCCAGTCGTCCATGAACTGGCGGAGGGAATGCTGTGATTCAGTTTCTTGGCTGGTGAGATCTTGAGAAGAACTCAAGTTTCTGCAGTTTATCAAGGAAGATCCTTTATGGGAAGGGTTAAGGAGGGAGTCAGAAGAAACAACTCCAAACTGATTTCTTGTGGTTTCTTCAAATGGGTTCTGCTGCTTTTGGATGAAGAATGGACTTTCTTTAGATATCATGGAGAGGCCAGGTGTGTCTTGCATTCTTTCAGCCCCATTCTCCCTGTTTAGATACATCCTGCACAAGCAATTACAATGAATGGAATCGATTCCTAAAAGTAAACTAGAACAGCTCAGTTTCCACCTTGTCTCATTACATAAAATCTTCACAGAGGAATTTTAACAGAACGCAATCTTTCTAAAAACAAAACTTTACCTGTTGAGGGGAGCTGCTGTGGTGAGATTAGATGCACTGCCAGACTGCAAGTTCTTGAACTGCTGCTGCCGAGCAACGGTGAGGCTGTTGGAAACACCGACGCCACTGTTGGGTCCGACCACCGATGCCGAGGAGGAGGATGCAGCAGGCATCAGGTTGGTGGTGTTGTTGTCAGTGGCGGCGGCGGAATGGCCCGATTGGCCTTCCACAGGCTTTCTTGAACGATGGCGGCCCCTGTTCATGTGCCGCTCGCAATACTTCTGGTCGACAACCGCATCTCTCGCGCACCGCCATTTCTTCCCATCCGTCCTCCTACACCGTCCCGGTTCCGGATCGGTATTACTTGAGAATCCCAGATGGAAAGCTCCCCATCCCACTTCGTAAAAATAAAAACAAATGGTAACACCCAAATCAATAAAAAGAACCCAACACAGAAAAATCGAAACTTTCATCAAACTAAACATCAAAAACCCACATCGAAGGACAGAAAAAACAGAGACTGAAACAAGATTACAAATTCAGAAAATGAAGCTTTTGCTTTAGAATCAAAATCAATTTTATTCTTCAGTAACTACATTTTTCTATGGGTTGAAAATAACCTAAACTTTATGAACGGAGTTCTTTGCCAGTTGGTGGGAAGTAATGGGTATTTGTCGGATATGGGACCAAACATGTCCTATTCTTTTTTTCCTCTCTTTTTTTTTTTTTTTTTTTTTTTTTGGGGTAGAGAAACATGTCTTAGTTGAGTACTTTGAAAGTGATGCTTTAATTTGATGAAACAGATTATGGGTTAAATTATGCTTAGCACATTCATTTCACTTGTCTGAAACAGTACTCTGTCCTTATCAAGGTAAACGGATGGGTTGCCGGAAACTTACATGTATTGGGTCGGAGGAATCCGCCGGAAAAACCAGAGAAGCCAGCAGAATCAAAGGCTTTTCTTATAGGGAGGAGAAGCTGGGATGGTACGGGCATATTTGAATCGAGGAACTTGTAGATCATGGCCTGGTGTTCTAGCTCAATCCATTGAGATGGGGTAAATGGCCCTCTAGCCCCTGCTACAAGCCCATGCATGTTTGCAGCATTCAAACCTCCATTGTTGTAGCCTGAAACTCAAAACCCAGAAGAAATCAAAGGAAGAAGATTAAAGAAAAGCAAACCTACAAAGAGGGGAAGGAAAAAAAAAAGGCTTCTCTCTCTGTATAAAGGGAAGAAAAGGGGTACAGAAGATGGTAACCCAGAAGTAAAGCCTGTTTGCAGCATTTAAGGAGGCTACAAGAATTATGAATTTGTTTTCTTTGATGGAACAAGAAAACAGAAACATAAAGGGATAAGAGGGGAAAAGGAGTAAAGATTGCTAAAAAAGAAACAGAATAGGAACTCAAAACAATCAAAACTCTGCTTCAGAAGTTGTTCTCCTTTTTGCTCCCTCTGAAGTCACTGTTTGATTTATTACCATAGATTTTAAGGGGAAAACATCATAAATCTCAACTTCTTGACAAGACTTTTAATTTAAAACAAAAAAGACCATGAAAAGACCCACCACCAGAGCCTGGAATCAAAACCAAAGAACAAACAATAACAAAGCCATTAACTCCCTGAGGAATCAAACAAAGGGTATCACTTTCATTTCCTCAAATGATGTTGAAAAGTGAAAACTGAAAACCCACCTGTGTTCCTGCTGAAAGCAGGATGTGTGAGATGTAAGTAAGGGAATGTGACATTTTGGGAGCATTTATCCTCTGATTTGGTGGAAGAGAAGTTGAGCATTTGCTGATTCTGGTGCACACCAGGGAAGATAGAGCTGTTGGATCTCAGTAAACTGTTCCTCTGCTGCAACAGCATTGCCTTGGAAGCTGAGAAATCCTCTGTTTTGGCCACTTTGGAGCTTCTCCAGTCATCCTCATTAGTACCAGATCTTTCCTGCTTGAGAAACCCAGATCCGTACCACTTCTGCTTTGTCTCAGGATCTGAAGCAAGAGAGGCTAAACCAGAAGTGGTAGTGCTGGTAGAAGTGTCTGATCCCACCCACCCATCCAAACCCACCACCCCAAAATCCATATATAGAGAAAAACAACCACCAAAACTAGACAAGCTCTAGACTGAAGAAATGAAGCATTGGGTCAGTAGCAAAAAAGACAGGAGCTGGGAGGGGGATGGGATGTGCATTTAAGGGTGTTTGTGATAGTTACTGGAGGATTTAGTTAGGCTAAGCAAAAAGACTAAAACCAGATTGGTTTTTCTTAGGCGTTGATGTTTGGAGAAAAAGCATAAAATAATTGGAGAGTGAGAGAAAGAGAGAGAGAGAGGGAGAGAAAGAGAGAGAGAGAAGGTGATGAGGAAGAAACTGACTGGACTTAGTTAGCATACTAAATAAATAAATACCCATAATTTATATTATCATATATCTCAAGTCAAGTAATTACTACGAATAAAAATCCTACTTCTGATATTATTGTGGACTGCAACCTTATCAAAATGGAAATTCTTGCTTTTTCTCCTTTGTTTTAATATTGCTTTTCTTTTCTTCCTTTCGGTATATTTTTTCTCTTGGATGAAAATGATCTTTCAAAAGCCTCCTTGAGGATGTGATACAATAATATTTATAATAATTCCTGAAAGAGTGAGAGATCTTTGGTTTTTGGAGGAAACAAATGAAGGGTGCACCTTTAATTTTGATTAGCCACAAGATTAAGAAGTTAAAAATTTGTAAAATTTAGGTTTTAAATATGAATTAAAAAAAAAGGTTAAAAAATTTTTACCTTTTATTTGTCAATATTGTATGGTTGATAGACTGGCAAAAAATTACAAAGATCAAATCTTAAGCACTCATGTCCTCTTTTAAGGACATAAAAGTACTCTTAGCATGTAGAAGAAAAAAAATCTCACGTTTGGCCTAATTGTTGGAGTTGCTTTCTATGTTTAGTAGGTGGTTCATGATTAGCCTAAACTTCTTAATGAAAATTTTTATATTCTAAAAGTATTTTGCAATAGGTATTTTATCAAGCAACTTTTTGTAACCGTTGCTTAACAATACCATTATTAAATAAATGTTTTACAAAAGTTATAATTAGACTAACATAGTATTTAACCATTTAATTTAATATGTGAATTAATTTTAATTGTAAATGTTAAATTTAGGTTAAATATAATTTTGTAATAAGTACTTATAGTATTTGTTTTTATAGAAATTTAAGTTGACCATTGTGGAAGAATTATAAGTAGAAGCTCCATATTTAGTAAAACAACTTATGCCAATAAAGAAGTTACCATAATAAGATTTTACTTATGACCTTGTGAAATTAGTTGAAGTACTTTTTGGAAAACTTAATTTAAATAATACATTTTACAAAATTCTTGCCCAAATAGACAGATTCGATAATCACTCTCAAAACAAACAAGTGACAAAATCATTTTGCTCTATGTGGTCTACAATATAAGTGTGGGTTAGAACTCCACTTGCCCCTTTAATCTTATCTCTC